TTTGGCGAGCAGCGCAACTGGAACGACTTCAGGGAGTCAGCAGATTCGTCGCGCAACTGTCTTAGGGCAGTGTGAGCTTTCGTATTTTCCGTGGTCTGTTATAACTGATCTGGTCATTTTGCGACGGTCTTATGGTTTTCTTAAAGTGCCCGCCTCTGCGCCTCATTGTTCACACTTGAGACACTTTTATTTGACTAGCTACTTGACGTTACCGGGGCGGACACAGATCCCTTATAACTATCCTATTATTTTGTCTTCAAAACTTTGCTGACGTGAACCGTTTCAGGTCTGTCAGTTGTAAACATTTTGAGAAGAAGTAGATATGATCGTTGGGACAAGAATTTTATTCGCCTGAGGTTTCGAAATCCGTCGTGGATCCTTCATCACAGACAATAGCAGAGATAATAGCAGAAACGGGTGCTTCTGCAAAATGTTTGATATCAGTAATTTATTTGATCAAGCAAGCATAGTCTTCCTCCGCTTGATCATCTGCCACGCAGGTCTCAGGTTATTGCTAAGTTGTGACTTCCTCATCCACATTCTGTTAGAACCACCTGGAACGCGTTTATCGATTTTTTTAATGATACTCCTCTGTAGGTAGATACTAGTCTAAAGGTTACGTAATTATTTATCGACGAAACGGTCTTCATCGGACAGAGGGACTACAGGAATTCGTAGTTATACGTTTTATATACAATTTGTCATTATTTTGGAAGTGTGTTCGCTGTCCGAGTTACGAAACCTACCCGTCCCTTTATGCATTTGTGCTCAACGTAGAACCTCCACAGGCCATTGCGCAACGACTAGGGCTATATACAGAAAAGGAGTACTGACAAAGCAGACCGGGATGGCCGTTTCTGGCTTGTTAGTCGTCGTCAGCCCGTCTTACTCAAACCCGAGTCTGAGGAACGTGAACCTCCAATCCGTGTTCTTTGGCCATTGAGCGTTATCACACACGTATACATACACATTACTGCCTTATTATATAGATAAGCGCTAGCGTGTTATAGGCCGGCTAACATGCACCGCTGTGGGCTCGAACCGGCGACCTGTCGATTAGACGTCTAACGCTCTAACGGTTGAGCTACGGGCTCGGGCGAGGCACCACCTGGGGTTGGAGGGCTGATGAAGACTAATTAGTCCGAAATAGCAATCCCAGTCTCCCTTGCCTTTGTTGGCGATATATTTCTGTCTATAACATGCTAGCCGTTGAACGGCTGCTGGCGGGGTTCAAGAGCGAACCCCAAGACACAACAAGACGAGTTAGTTCCGTAACCGACCGGCGAGCGCCTGTCTATTATCATATGTATATATGTATGCTTATTATTATATTACGCAATATTATATAATATGCCTGCTGCTGGTTATTTTGTGAGTTCTCACCCCTGTGGTTTTCGTACATTCAGGCTCCGATCTCGTGGACTGGCTGTACGCCCACATTGAAGGCTTCACCGACAGGCGCGATGTACGGCGGTATGCTTCCAATCTGCTCAAGTACGGCTTCATTCAACACACTGTGAATAAGTCGACCTTTTCGGAACAGTGCTACTACGTCTTCACTGACATGAATTCCACCAGTAAGTACTGTCTGTGTTGTCTGCTGGACAATTTCCCTCTCTATATGTGTCTCGTTTTTCCTTTGATAGTCTTCTAGCTGCATTGAAGTTAAATGTGCCTCACCACTGGTGAAGCACATATCTGTCTTGTACTAAGGTGGGTGCACTTTGGTAGTTCCCATGTCAGTACATCATAGAGTGAAAATTAGGCACAAGCTAACCTACACTGGATAGCATACCGGCTTTTAGCAAGACATCTGCCCAACAGTCTTCGTGAAATGTACTCGAAAAATTAAAACTTTAGAACTGGGATTTGTTCCCTTATATTCAGTACCCACTGCGTTATGATTTTGGTGATTAGTGAAAAAAAATCATTTTGTTGTACTTGCTTTGCTGCAGATCACATTGTCTTGCACTATATCAGGAGGAAGTACTGCGATTCTTAAATCGTTTTTGATAATAGGCACACTTTTGGGACGTTCGTATGCATATCCTTGCAACCTAGCATCTTCATGCTTATATTATGGCTACGCAGAATTTGCAACCCTATGTCAAATCCTTTACTATAGTCTGTGAAGGTTAAGAGGCCTCTACCCGGGTATGTATTTGATCGCGTACACCACCTGGCCCCAGATGCAGTACATGGCATGTTGCTCAAGAATGCTTTTTTATCGTGAATATTCTCCATAAACGATGATTCAACGTAAACAGACAGCAAAGGTCCATAAAAAT